AGGCGGCGATGGTGGAGCAGTGCCATCAATCTATAAAATACATTTTTTGACAATTTTTAGTGGTTTTATTAGATATATTCTAAAAAGCTTAAGATGAATAAGCAAACGTATGTATTTCAATGCGTTAAACTATACCGATGTCCAGGTGGTCAAACTACTTTTTTCAGTAATGTTGAGCAAATTTAAAGAAGCGCACTCACTAGCATCAATTCAAATGCAGCGAGGAGCTCTCCGCCATCTTTGCCCTGTTTCTTGATGGGATACCACTGAAGCATGACTTTTTTGAACTCAGCGGGGTCGGTGACAACTTCGGGAGTCAGCTGAATAGCAAAGCGTTCCACTGAGAATATGCATATAAAATTTGTCGATCTAGCCACAAGATATAGCAGCAAGTCAAACAAGAAGAAAATGCTTGTATTGCTGCATTAAATTCACGGTCAAGGCATCAAGTACACAACAAATTAATGAGCACGGCCAAGTTTCATTTTGAGGCAAGGTCGCCGTACAACTTGACATTGCGAAACAGGACTTACACTGCAGCGACCAAGGAAACAATCTGAACCAATTTGATCCCAGTCGAAAAGCTCAATCGTTACGCGTGGAGGAGAGTCCACAATAGCGTCCGAGTTGCCATAGATGACGATATTTTCAAAAATGAGTGTTTGATCCCACTGAGGGCTGAGAGTTTTTTCCAGACGTTCCGTTTTTTGCGATTGGTTAATGAAACAGACACGGGCGTAAGGGTCAGACAAACCTGATTGATCAGCTGCTAAGAGTCCACGAGCTTGGAAAATATAGGCGTTTAGTTGCCACGTTTGCTTAGCTGCGAAATAACGGAAAACGGCTTAAGTACGAGAATAATTGAGATTCTAAGGTACTCCGAAGGCTATCAATAAATCGAATTGAAGTCTTATTAATTATTATTAGTGGTTCACTAATCAGAGACTTCTATCGTCTGCAGCATGGAATGCACTCCCCTGGGACTGCTAATACAGAAATCATAGAGTGTCTTTGGTTTAATAGAGGCGGGCTTCGTACTTAACGATAACTGTTGGTCTCTTGAAAAGAATTTGATAAGCATTAAATTGATAAAGGAAACTGCTAACCTTCGTATTTGATATACAAACGCGGACTTGCCATGTTAGTTTGCTGAAAATAAAAAAAGACACACAGTGTAGCATTTTGCCAAAGTAAAAGGAAAACTGTGAAATTAGATTAAAGGGATAGACAAGCAAAGCAAAACGAGCTATTTTTAACTCTGAGCAAGCCAGACAATTGGGACAACTGTAGCGAGTAGAGAGCGTTGTGTTAATGAAACATGAACGCAGAACTAGATGGTGGGTAAGGTTGACGCCAGTTTGTTTGGTTACCAGAGCCTTGAGATTTTTTGTGATATGATCATCTAGCTATCCTGATATCGTGCAAAGCAAAGAAGTTGTATGCGTCAAAAAAGCAGTGCATGCGTAAATAAGCCATTCTACGATGGTTAAGTAGTGATGGTGGGAGATGGGTGACAAGTTGGGGTAAGCATAAAGAACATGAAACCGCCTTCGAAGTGCTGCCTATTATTTCATTGGAAGGAAGCCATCAAGGTGAATCGAGTATGAGGCATGGCTAGCCACTCACCTTTTTCTTTTTCTGGATAGAATGAAAAAAGGATTTAAAGGTTTAAAACATGAACTTTTAAGGCATAATATAGCTCTAAACAAAGACTACATCATTAAACTGAATTCATGTGGAAGCCTTGACCATAAACAACAGAACAACATCGGAACTTTAAGGGTTATGAACAATTATTGGCATTCCTCGATTTCCGTCTATGTATGGTAATTCACTGTACGCAGAGGATGAAAGTATAAATTCATTGAAGCAAGAACATTGTTTGTAATAAAGGTTTAACGGTGCCAAAACTATCCTACAAAATGCTCCTATCCTATCTTACTTCGTCACTTTGTGGGGGAAGTTGAAAGAGTCCTGGCACAATCGAGTTGGGATCGTCAGAAACAAGTTTTCGGTGCCACCGACGTCTGCGCACGTTGTCAGTACCCTTCTTTGGAGTGTGGAACCGCTTGCTGAAACCGAATGCGTATTCCCATCCCTCTCCCGCTGCAGGCGTCATTGATTCCTTTAAAAGGTACAAAATACTTGGCATGGAGCATTTACACGCCGGTGGTAGTGTAGATTTGGAACAAAATGTGCAGCACAGCTTTCGTTCATCACATTCGACATCCGAAGTCGCTCAGCAGAATAGGAACGTATACATTATAAGTCCATTGAGTAAAAACTCAAGATAAGCAATCCTTAAAGTTCAGTACCCAAAATTAGTGATGAAATACAAACTCTCTATTCTCTGGGTACATTTAGCCTCATAGTTAACCAACAGTATCGCACAAAATGTCATTATCGTTTTATGCAAATGTACAATTCATAAGTATGTGCTTCGAATTGATGGACCAGTGCAAGCGGTTTGCTACAATTACTGCTTTACGCTTAGACTGGTCAAAATTATGGATGGTTTGAGATTAGCAAATTTACAATGACTGATGTCGAAATCCCTTCTTTTGAAACGATCGGCGTCCCGACCAAAGTTCAAAAAGGCAAATCATTTTAAACCATCGTCAACTAAAGGAACTTGAGATACTATGGTTCAA